GCTGCTGGTCACGGCCACCGCTTTCGCAGGTGGGCACCGAGGGTCCCGGCCGGTGGGCGACGTCTTGGAGACACGTTGGGTTGTTGCACGTGGGCCACATCCACCCCCACGCTCCCGGGGAGGACACAGCCCGACCCAAGATGTTGTCCTCTCCACCATGGGGACATCTCCAAACCCTTCTCCTTCCTGTAGGACATCTAGGTGATGTCTGGTGGCCCTCAACAGGCCAACAGAAGAAGCCGTTTCGCGGCCATGGCCACCTGAGCTGTCCCCAGGGTGTTTGTTTCAGGGATGGTGGGACCATTTCTCTGCTCCTCGTCCACGATGTTGGCCTGAGACCCACCAAGAAGTCTGCAGGAACTTCTTTTTTCCGTCCTTCACCCATCGCTACTTTCGAGTTCATGACAGATCACAACATCTCAGAGCGCGTTTCAGGGCAGAGCTCTTCTGGAAATCTTCTTAAAACTTGTGTCTTTGAAGGCCACCACCCTCTTTTCTTCTTTGAAGGTACAGCAGCCACGTTTCTCATCCAGCGCCGCACGGTGGGCCATGGTTTGAGCTTCTTTTCTCCCTCCAGTCCACCCCAGAGTTCTCCTGGTGTCTTTAATTTTTCTTCTCTCCCACCGTTGAGGCAGATGGAAGACTTTTGGAGGCCGTGGGGTGGAAGATGACCTTCCGTGGGGTGGAGGATGACCTTCCAGGAGAAGGTTCTGCTCCTTAACGCTGTTGCTCTCTCCATGACAGTTCAGGCTTTTCAACCTCGTCCCCAACCCTCCTCCCAGTGCCCGTTCGACTGGATTGGCCACAGAGGGAAGTGTTACTATTTCTCGGAGGCTGAGAGGAGCTGGAGGTCCAGCCAGGACAACTGCTCGGCGCTTGGTGCCTCCTTGGCCACGCTCGACGGCGTGGAAGACTTGGTAAGGAGACATGAGGACGTGTTTCCTACTTTTGGGGTTCTTTGACTGCCCTTCCAGGATCCTCCTTGGAGATTTGGGCTGAGGAGATGGGGAAAACGGTTTTCTTGAGGGGAGGTCGTTGTGGGTCTCCTCAAATTCCTCGGCAAAGCCAACTGATTCGAGACGTAGAGCAAAAAATGCCCCGTTTCTACCCAAGGATGAAGCTCTGCCTGGAAAGTCACACTTTTTGGCAGCGGATGGAAAGGGTCAAGAAGCCCCACAGGAGAGATGATCGCTTGGAAGGAGGATTCTGGAGATGTTGACCTGCTGGAGATGTCCCAAAGCCCCAGGACCAACCATGAAGCCTTTTTCTCTCTTCTTCTTCAGAGCTTCGTGATGAGATACGGAGGGACCTCGGAGCATTGGCTCGGCCTCTGGCGGGAAGACGAGGAGCGGCCGTGGAAGTGGGTGGACCACTCACGTTTATCCCCGCTGTGAGTCTGGTTTTTCCAACCATCCATGGTTGGTGTTTCCTCAGCCCCAAAATGCACCTTTCTTGGGGCACTTGAGGGGCATCAGGAGGACAGAGATGTTTGGAAGAGGCAACGCTGCGTCCGGAACTGGTCTTCCCTTGGACTTGAGGGGTGGGAGCGGTGCGTTTGGTGGGGAAAACGCTGTTTCTTGGAATTTTTTTATCGTTAAATGAGCTTTTTTTTCTTGGAAAGCTTCACCTTTCTTACAGCCAACCCAGACTCTGCCCAAATAGACGTAATTCAGCACCAACATTGACCATCGATGCCCGTGAGAGCCAATGGGGGAGGGACAAAAGCCAACGCTGGATTTTTGCTGCTGGATTTTCCTCCGTTTTCCTGCTGTCCCCATCTCAGGTGGGTTGTCTCATCTGTCCTTCCAGGTTTCGGGTCGGTGGAAGTGGCCTCTGTGCCTACCTGGGCGACGCCGGGCTCAGCTCCTCCCGCTGCGGCGCGGCGCGGCGCTGGGTCTGTAACCAGCCCGAGCCGCGGCGCCCCGGCAACGGCAACGGCACGAGACGGGCTCCAAACCTTTGTGCCAGCTCCTGAAGGACCACGGGGAACCCTCCTCAACCCCAAACCCTCAGGAAACAAAAGAAAACCTCAAAAAAACTCACAAAAAAAGCGAATTCGGGGGAAAAAAAAAAAGCCTATTGCCAAAAATCGCCCAATAAGAAGCAAAGTTGTTGTGTGTTTGCGTTCGTTGACCCAACGGTGCCGTGGGACCTGGGGGAAGTATCTAGTGATGCTTTTTGGACGCCCCTTAATGACTTAATTAAAGGTCAGAGCAAGGGGAAAGCCGTAGCGATGACCCCAGGGAGGACGTCTGGAGGGCGAAGCTTAGTGAGATGTCTACAGCCTGGAAGGGTATGACCAGGAGAATGGGAAAATGCTGCAGGATTTTAACTTTTCCTGCTTTTTGTGGAGTTCAAGCAGCGACCTGCAGGCTTGGTGGGCTGAGAAAAGCCTCGTGACGCCTGACGAGGACGTGGGATGGACAAAGGATGGACAAGGCCCGCAAGGCTTCCAAGGATTTATGGCTCTTGTCTTCAGGAAAGCCCGAGCTTCAAAGCAACCGAGTCAACTGGTGACCATACGTGGTCCTGCACCATGAGCAAGATGAAGAGACTTCCAGTGGACCAAGGAGGTGTTGGGGGCCAGGGCGGCTGTTGGGGTCCCATGTGGGGCAGCTCTGGCGGGATCCTGGGGTCCTAAGGGACCAAGGAGGTGTTGGGGGGCCAGGACAGCTGTTGGGGTCCCATGTGGGGCAGCTCTGGGGGGATCCTGGGGGTCCCAGGGGATGAAGGAGGCTGTGGGGGACAAGAGAAGCCTTTGAGATCCCATGTGGGGCAGCCATGGGGGGGTCAGGGGAGCTTTGGGGGATCTTTGTGGGGCTGAGGCAGCTCAGTGGTGGGTCAAATGCAGACGCCTTCTCCTTCTGATAGCAAAAAAAAAAATATTTATTATATTCTGAGCACATTTATCATCAATTGCACGTTAATTACTCGTAAACACATCCCGAGAGTGGGGAAGAGCAGAAGAAAATGGGGGCTCCGAGCTTGGACCCAAAACCCCCTGGATATAACCCAAACCAGAGACATATAAGATGGAGGTAGGACCATGAGCTGAGGTGAAAACGACTCCAAGACCTGGAAAACAGGAGTTGAGGAGCATCAAGGAGCGTTTCCAACCACCATGGAGCAACCGGCTTCGGGGAGCATCAAGCCCTGGGGGACAGTTTGATGGTGGAGAGGAGCACGCAGAAGTAGGGGAAGACCCTCTCTCCGCTGAAGGAGGCCACGGGGAAGGTGAAGATGCGTTGGCGGCTCCCGACAGCGTAGAAGGAGACCTGTCCCACCTCGTAGTCCAGGTAGACCCCGATCTCCCCGTTGAGGAGCGGGACGGAGGTGTTGGAAGGAGCCGTGAGGGCCACGCAGAGCTCGTCGTACTTCTGCAAGCCCCAAATCTCGGGGTTTGGCTTGAAGAGGACTCGGCCTTTCCTCTGAACCGACTCTCGGGCCACCCCAACAGCCCAGAAGCGCCCCTTGACCTCCACCTCCCAGTAGTGACGGCCCGAGGTGAAGCCCTCACTGCCCAACACACACGGGTCCGTGTCGAACCGGCCCGGACCCTCCGGCCACCGGTGTTTAGGTCTACCCCAAGTGGCCTCTTTGAGGTCCTCAGAGAGGATCACCTCAGGTCCCACCGTGGCTGGATCCAGGGTCACGTCCACTGGAGAGCAAAACAGAGAAGGAATCAGAAGCCAAACTTAAGTGTAGAGGACACACATCCCCAAAATCCCCTTCACTGGGTACTTTTCAAGGAGAAAGAGAGAGGAGTGATGAGGTTGGACATGGAGGAGCCAAGAGAGGGAGATTGGAGATGAAGGATCTCCAGGCCAGGCTGGAGATAGAGGAGCCAAAAGATGGAGGTTGGAGATGAAGGATCTCCAGTTGAGGTTGGAAATGGAGGAGCCAAGAGATGGAGGTTGGAGATGAAGGATCTCCAGTTGAGGCTGGACATGGAGGACCCAAGAGATGGAGGATCTCCAGGCCAGGTTGGAGATGGAGGAGCCAAGAGATGGAGGTTGGAGCTGGAGGATCTCCAACTCCAATGGTCACCTCACTTGATGCAGCCCAGAAAACATCAGGATTTGGTACTTTCCTCCTCTCCGGCCGCCCCCGGTTACCTTCGAACTGTTTCGCCGTGTCGTAGTCCAGGAGAAGATCCCACGGCTGCGGCCGGAGGAAGGAACCCATCGCCCCGCGGCGGCCCCCGCTGCCGGCGCCAGGCGCGGAGAGGGGAAGGAAAGAATAAAATCAAATTATTGTCCCACCAATGGGCACCTCTCGGCTTTTCACCCCTTTTTCCATCAGAAAACAGGTCCGACCCCCCGCGTTGAGTCAAAACAACGTGGAAGAAAATTCCCTTTTTTATCTCCAGCGAAGGAGCTTCGTTCGTTTACGGGAAGACCCAAAAAGATGGATTAAATCCATGAATTCCGCAATGAGGAGCACGTTGGGATGGACCCACCTCCCTTGTAGACACGATTATATCCCAAAAAATCCCCATTCCTTGCACTGGCATCATCATAAATCCATCTCCACCCCCACTGATGATCATTTTTTTGGGTGAACAAATCCAAAAAGGTTGATCCGAGTGAGAAAAATCCTTAAAATTGAGATAAGCCGAGTCGGGTTCTCCCACATCCAGAGAAATCCGGTGAGAGGCGGAGAAATTTGCCGCTGGTTTTGGAGAAAACCTGCACGGGGGAGATAAGGGCCTCGAGTCCGTCCCCCGACACCCGGCACGGGGGCTTGGAGCACAAACAAGCGGCAAAAAGTGCTGGAAATTTGGGAGAAAACCCCAAAATTGGTGCAATAAACCACTCTGCGACGGTCAGAAATCCGCCGGTTCCTTCTTTTCCGCCCGCTTTCCCCAGCCGGACCGCAGAGAGGGGAATTAAAGCCGCGGGTGGATGAGGAAGAGGAGGAAAAAGGTGGGAGAATCCCCCTTAAATGGAGATAAAAGCGGACGCGGTGCCATCCCTCACCCCAATTTTTCCCCCTCTGGATCGTGGCGGCAAATAAGAGCCACGAGCGGCCGCTGCCAAACACCTTGAAATCCCAAATTAAGATCCTGGGGGCAAAGGAAGGAGAAATCCGCTTCCCTTCCCTCGCTGACGGATGGGGACAGTGCTCCAAATCCCCTTTTTTTCCCCAAAAAAAACACCACAGGGTGTTGTAACCCCCCCGGCAGCGCTGGTTGTTCCCCCCTCTCGAACCTTTCGGTGTTTCCTTCGGCACCGCCGCCGTTCGGGGGGCTCCTCCAGCTGCTTTTCCTCCACCAGCTGCTTCTCCACTTGGGTTTTTTTCCTCTTTTGGGATCTTTTTGCCTCTTTTGGGGTCTTTTTGCCTCTTCCCCCCCCACCTCTGGCACAGGCTCAGCGAAAGCTCAGCCCCGTCTCTGCCTCTGCCAGTTTTTATCGCCGGGGCGGGGGGAATCTCCAATCTCCCGCCCGCAGACGGGGCCGCGACGCACTCGGCCGCCCCCTGCACCCTCCCATTGCGCCTTT